GAAAGAAAGAAAAGAATAAACCAATTCAACGGATCACCGGAGCTTTCAGAGAACTTGTTTGCCTGTCTGTGCCCTGTACTTTTCATCCTCTGCTGTGCGAGGCTCCTGTTCTCACGGAACCGACATTTCAAGGGGGAGGCATCATAAATAAGAAAGTCTTTAATCGGGGACAGGGCTATGCAAATAATTAGTCATATTTTAATGGACATTTCCTTCAATTAAGTTGTTATTATTATTATTATTATTATTATTACTACCAGGGATTGAACTCAGGGGCACTCAACCACAGAGCCACATCCCCAGCCCTATATTGTACTTTATTTAGAGATAGGGTCTCACTGAACTGCTTAGCGCCTCACCATTGCTGAGGCTGGCTTTGAACCGKCAACCCTCCTGCCTCAGCCTCCTGAGCTGCTGGGATTACAGGCRTGCACCTTTCAAAAATGGTTCCCTGATAGAGGACGAGTAGGGAGCCAGCCTGGGGAGTGTGGTCAGGAAAAGCCTCTCTGAAGAGGCGACGCTCAAGTGGAGATCTGAACGACAAGGAACCAGCCCTGTGACAATCAGAGGAGAAACATTCTGGGCAAAAAACATAGCTGGTGCAAAGATGTCCGGAGACAGGAACAAGCTCAGTGCCTGCGGAGAAGACAGAGGGCTGCTATGGCAGAGCGCAATGGGCGAGGGCCACCCAGTGTGGTGGAGATGCCTGCAGAGGATTGGGGAGGGCAGGGTGCAGGCTGGCAGTGTGATGTAATGTCCTGGGGAGAAGCTGTGGTTCTGAAGTGTGCCCCTGTTTTCAGAAAAAACTGGCTTTTCAGTTCCACCCCGATGCCCCAGGCCCTGGCCATAGGTGTCCCTCCTTCTGTTGGGGGAGGACTGTCCTGCTTCTGCTGAACCGTCCTGGCTCTTTAAGTAGCGCAGTTTGGTGGAAGGAGCACAGGTGCAGTCGGCAATGTGGGCTGGGACTGCTGGGCTGCTGGTGAYAGATTTCAGGGTGATCTTCACAAGGCCTTATTTTTTCATTCTCATAACATGAAATCTGGAGGCAGGCAACCCAGGGCTGGGATTGGCAGCCCCACAGACGCCCAGGCTCCTTTCAACTTTCTGCTCTGCCATTTTTTGTGTGACTGGGGCTTATAGGTGTGTGACCTGTGCAGTGGATCAGCAGGGCCCCCACTTGGTTTAGCTTGCCCAGGCTAGCCTTGAACTTGTGATCCTCGCACCTCAGCCTCTTTGAGTGGCTGGGATTGCAGGTGTGCACCCATCTGGGTAATTCTGATTCACGCTTGAGTGTCTGCATGTGGCCAAGGAGGTTAGAGRACATATCTGAATGAAGTTACCTGCCAGGCGGCAGCTAGGGTAATTAGACTGCTTTTCTAAAGGAGCACTGGCCAAATAATTCCAGGGAGGTCAGCCTGAGGGAGAATGTTCGCAAGCCGTTGATGCGGATCCAGGAAGCTGGAGGATTTTTTAGGAGCCCTAGAATGCCACTGCCTCATCCCCTAAGAAATACTGGTCCTGTTTTCTTGCCCAGTACTCCACAGATGGAGGGGACAACAGGGGATGCACATTTCAGTCCCAGTTAGAAGTGTGGAGTTACTTTACACAAGGGCTGTTCATTCCGGATTGCAAGAGCACATTTCACCTGCTGGCCAGACGGCAGGCACYGAGCCTTGGGTTTGGCAGGCTTCAGGCTGGGGAGTGGCTTCCTAGGCTCTCACGGCTCTTTCCCTTTTTAGGTGGTTTTCCTCCTCTGTGCTTATGTCACAGTGTACATGATCTATGGGAAATTTCGGAAAACATTTGACATTGAGAATGACACATTCCGCCTGGAGTTTCTTCTGGTCCCCGTCATTGGCCTTTCCTTCCTGGAGAACTACAGTTTTACACCCCTGGAGGTGAGGGAGGCTCTGAGCCCACATCCCCCAAACGTGCCCCTAGCATCCATCCCTCAGGCCCACGGAGGCATCTGGGCTTGCCTTCTGTGACCCTTGCTCAAGGACTCTTCAGTTCCAAATTTGGAAAATGGCAACAAGCTTGTCACAGTCCTCCACAGGAAGAGAGGCACACCTGCCGCAGCAAGAGGCTCATGAGCCAGTGGCGCCAGCCAACTTCTGGTTGTTGAGTCCTTGAGTCCAACATAGGATTAGCAGATCCCTAGACCAAGCTTAGGCCAAAGTTTTAAGCCTGTGTGCCTGGCCTGATGGCTACGAGAATCTGTGGACAACAAGCCTGAGATCTTGATGCTGGTATTTATGGATCACTTTGAGAAACTCTGGCTTCAATTATGACAAGTTTAGCAAAATTGCAACCTTTAAAAATTATGTTCCTTAGAAATACTCATTCTAAGCATTATGTATTGTATAGTCTTAATATTAAAAATCAAAATTATATTTACATAGGAAAAAAAAAGTGACAAAATACTGAAGTGTGGGGCTGGGGATGTGTAGCCCAGTGGTGAAGTGCTTGCCTAACACATGCAAGGTCCTGGGTTCCATCACCAGAACCAAAAAGCCCACTTGTGCAGTTTGCTGGGGGTAGAACCCAGCATATTAGACAAGGGCTCCGCCTGAGCCAGAGGCACGACTCCTTTAGTTCTTTATTGAGAATGTGAATTTAAACCATTTTGCTGAACATATTCCCTCCAGTAAACATGTGTTTACATCTCTTAAAGCCACAGGCCCTTTCCTAGCCTCGCTGAGCTCCTTTGTGCTTGTCTCTTCGGCTCAGATCCTCTGGACCTTCTCCATCTACCTGGAGTCAGTGGCCATCCTGCCCCAGCTCTTCATGATCAGCAAGACTGGGGAGGCCGAGACCATCACCACTCACTACTTGTTCTTCTTGGGACTCTACCGGGCCCTCTACCTGGCCAACTGGATCAGGCGGTACCAGACTGAGAACTTCTATGACCAGATTGCGGTGGTGTCAGGAGTGGTGCAAACCATCTTCTACTGTGATTTCTTCTACCTGTATGTGACCAAAGGTAGGTGCTGGGAGGAAAGCATGTCCATAGTACCCAAGGAACAGGGGAGAGCCCAGGCTCCCCTCTGCAGTGTTCCCGCTAATAGGGAAGGCAAGGATTTTCAGTATGCTGCACCAAGAGAAAACAGACCGAGAGCCATGACCTTTGACTTAGTTGGGAAAATACAGGTGACATACTCCAGAGCATCAGCCAGCTTTGTGCAATGTTAAGTATGCAGGTTAGCAGGATCCAATCCACAAAACTGGAGATGTCAGGTCACTGGGCTGCCAAGGTAAGGGGTCTGCACTTATCAAGAGCAGTGACTGGAGGAACCATTTAAAACACCAATCCTCTAGCTGCTGTTGGTCAAAAGAAGCCAGAGCAGCAGAACTAGCTAGTTAGGGAACTGCTGCATTATCCAGGTTTAAGAGGTAGAATACAACATTGAGGCCAAATGTTAAGTTTACAACCTAAGAGGGATGGAGTGTCAGTAACCAAGACGGAGGTCAGCAAGTCCACGGTTCATCTGTGGTTTAACACTGAAAACCCTTTCCCCTATGGCCTTAACATCRCAACACCTGGAGCTGGATGTGCAGACAGGATTATGTGGTTACAAAGCAGTCCTTTGATCCATGCAATACATTCTAACTTCATTTCCATTTTCTTCCAGTACTTAAAGGAAAGAAGTTAAGTCTTCCAATGCCAATCTGAGGGCCCTCAGAGATGACCTACACCTTAATAAGGACATGGAGCAAGCCATTTTGATTGTTCTCCTTGGTGACCTACCCATGACTTGGGATCATATATTAAAGCCAGAAAAATGCTTAGAATGGATTTCAGCAAAACACTGGTCATTCTATCTAGGCCTCATCAGCAGGATCTTCCTTCAATACCCATGTAAGAGCTAACAAGAAGCTGGGGCCAAATACAAACCTAAAGCCCTGGYTATACCTGGAAAGAGAAACTAAGGTGCCTGATCCATGAATAGATTAATATYAGCACAACTCCTGCCTGGAAAGGGCAATGTGGARCAATGTCCATGGGAGACTGCTCTACCTAGTGGGCTATATTACGGGCATGTTCCTGTAGTAAACTTCACTGTAAGAGACCAAACTGGTCAGGGTAAGATTGTAACCAGCTATTCACTTTAATATGGACTTCAAGCCATAAGCAAACCAAATTCACCAGCTTTGGAAGGAGTGAAGTCATTCTGTGAGTCCCCTTTACTTGGCTTAAATTTTACTTAAGGTTCACAGGAGCCCTGAACTTAGAACCTTAACCCTAAGGAATGGCCCAAGTGGGGCACCATTAGCAAAGATCACTCTTTTCCTGATGAGCTAGATACCCAAGCATTTACAAGAAGTACCCTTCATCTTGTTTTGTGATTCAAGTTCTTGCTCTAAAACTAATCAGTTTTAGGTGTTTAAGGAGATTAGCCACCCAACTTAATGTCTTAGAGCAAAAGCTCTATACTGGGTTACTCAGAGAAATTTTAAGGAATAAAAAGTTCACACCTTATTGTCAACAGTTTTTATTTATACCTACAAAAGAAAACAAGATGGTATCAAAAGGACAATTTACAAACTAAGAATAGTAACATAGCTCTTAGCATCCTGTGCCTGAACATCACACATCTACAAATCTTTCAAGTCTTAATGCAACAGGAATGTGTTCAGAGACCAGCAAGGACATGTGTATAGAGAGCACTGATCCCAAGCAAAAGCCACCAACCTTTTAGATGAAATAAGTCCGCACAATGAATTGTTAGGGAGGGACTGGGGAGAAGCGGCCTGTGGTTTAATACTGAAAACCCTTTCCCTAAATGAGTTTCAACTGTGAATGCAGTAACCGGCATCAGATGAGGATTTGTCTGCTCATGTYCTGAAGCAAGAGCCGAACCTGAATTACGACATAGAGGCAGAAATTCATCAAAGAGCTACATAAAAAAAAAAAAAAAAAACAAAACTACTAAATTTCAGCTGTGCTCAGGCCACAAGAACTCTTGAAATTTGGAATTTGCTGTTTTTTCATTTTGAGATTATGATGTCCCTGATGGAAAAGGGAAGCAAGCAGTCCAGATATTGCTCGTGTACCCACAGACCTTTCCCTGAAATGGATGTTTTTAGGAGCTGCAATAGAGTAGGGCATTCCCTGTAGTGAAATCTCTCCTATGTTAAAAAAAAAAAAAATCAGAATTTGGTTGTAAAAAGAAATGTCCACAAGAGATTGATCAGTGCTTAGATACCTTCTCTTTGGGGAGGGATGGGGTGAGGTGTGGGGGGAACACGACACTCACTTTGGTTTGAAAGCACAGAACAGTTTTGCCGTATTTCTTCTGTGCCTACCATCCTCGGCCTCTATTTTTAAAGAGGGGGGAACAAAAAGAGCAGGAAAGGAGGAAGTGGAAAGTAAAAAAGGATGCCAAAGTTTTTACATGCACACATTTCAGCTTATGCTGACAACCTACCTGGTATGCTGCACACTGAATCAATACTTTCAGAACCCCTCAGAAACCATCCCTTCTCTCCCCCTGAAGGATTTTAAAAGGAAAACAAAAATAAAAAAATCCTCAAGTATTTCAATTTTTAGATCTTACAAACCAACAAGCATGTTCAGGCCATAGCCTAAGAATGCAGGGGAGCCTTTCCTTTAACTGCACTGTGATACTGGTAACAGCATAAAAATGAACAGTTCCACCACAATGGATCTGGAAGAGGCTTCTGGAGCAGGCTACCTACCTACCTGCCTGCCTGCCTGCCTGCCTGCCTGCCTGCCCGCCCGCCCAACCTATGGTTATGGTGAACACGAAACCAGAATATTTTTTCCAGGTCCATCTGCTGTTTCAAGCCTTAATAATAAGACAATAACACTATGAAGGGGACCAACCCACCTACCTTCACATGGAGAAAAATTAAAAAAGGAAAATTAAAAAGGACTTGGGCTTGAGTCCTCCAGAACATTTCCTAAGAGCTACCTACCTGTGAAAAGCTGAGTGCAAAGGGATATTGAGGACAGCATACCTTCAGAAGCTGTTAGAAAGCACGCAGGACAGGGCATGAAGAGCTTGGGGGGCTTAAGAGTGTTTGCTCACAATAGCTTGGCCAAAGGGGCAGAGTGACTGGCAAAGAGAGCTGCTTTTATCCTAGTTCTACAAATACTGAATTGAAAAGGAAAATCTGCCCATTTTGAATACAATGTTTAATAATTAAAGGTTCCTTACACACTGCAGGTGAATGCAGAGGCTTGACTACTTAAAATTAAATTCCCAGTGAGCACTGACATTCATTTGCTCACAGTAACTGTCCGGCCAGGAAATTAATTTCACAGATGGTCCCTGGTTAAGTGGGGAAGAAAAAACAGGCAAGTTCCCACCCCAATGCCAAGATGCTGCAGTTTAACCAATGCCATTAACCCTTGTGGTTTTTAATTAAAAGATAGAAGAATTAAACTGACACTCAGCAATTTCTAACCTGACACTACACTGGTTATTTTTCAGTAACTGGGAGAGGGGAAGGCAGACAGTAAGAGAAGAGAAAACCAATTAAAAATATTTAACTGTCAAATGCACTCAAGCCATCAGCAGAAATGATAATGGCAAAGCATGGTCTTAAAAAAAAAAAAAAAACTCATCAGGCCGGAGGAACCCTGATCCAACTTGAGAAATGCTTACAAAAAATAATAATAAAAAAAAAAAATCATGGAAAATGTGCAGGGAAATTCCTCTTGGTTTTCTAACCCAGTGATGAGAGTAATTCACAGCACAGATGCCATCTTCTTCTGCAGGACAATCCAGTCCTCCCCCCTGCCTCCCAACAAACTCAGGACAACAACTAAAAATGGGCTCCCATAAAAGGACCTCCTAATACCTTACTTTTTCTTTTAGGATGAAAAATAGTTCAAATATCCTCAACATGCAAGAAGTTGGGGGAAGAAATTTTTCTCTTCCAGTCATTATGTATATTTTTACAAAATCTGTTATTATAGACTGGATTGGGGGGAGCGGGGGCAGAAGAAACCTGGCAGTGAATTCTAACTAATCTGCATGAAAAGACAAATCACAATGGTTGGGAGGGGAAAAAAAACAATTAAAAAAATAAAGAAAAAGGGAAGGGGGGAAGTAAAGACAGTGTTCCTTTATATGTAATTAAGTCTGCAGGAGTCACCACCACTGAGTGGTTTCATTTACGTGAAGGAGGAGGGGGAGGGGGAGGAGGAGGATACTGGTAGGCCGTCTGCCCCATGTAACCTATCATATTGGTGGCTCCTGGAGGTTGTGCAAACTGTTGWGACATCAGTGGCTGTGGCTGCTGCCCAGAACGGCCTATCCCACTAAACTGCTGGCTAGAGCTCTGTGAACTTCTCCCGGTTGAGGTGGTGCTACTAGCACCATACGTGCCAGCACCATATTCCTGGGCTGTATAGCCACTGGTGCCATAAGCAGCTGCCCCATAGGTGCCTTGACCATAGGTGTATTGGCCTGCTTGTGCTCCAAAGGCAGAATTTGGACTTCCATAGCCACTGCCATTAGCATAACCAGCTCTATCGGTTTCACCACGATCCCGGTAGCTTGCAGAGTCTCTTCGGCCACCATCTTTGACTCCTCGTAGCCTCCGGTCACACTCATCCTGATACATCAGATTGGGATTGTTGGCTGAAGAAGTGGTCCGGTATCGAGAACGACCTCCTGATGGAAGGATACAATGTATTTTTTAATGCCAAGCCTATGATCCAAACAAAAAAAATATAAAAATGAAGGGGTATAGGCTGGGGTTGTGGCTCTGTGGTAGAGTGCCTGCCTTGCATGTGTGAAGCTCTGGGTTTGGTCTTCAGCACCACATATAAATAAATAAATGTCTATCAATAACTTAAAAAAAAAAAGTCCTTGACCTTCAGCTAGGTCAGCCCCCAAGTAGGCACGTTAYTGTTTTAGGCTCTTTTCTTGAGCATGACCAAGACTACAATCTTAACACAACAAACCTGGAGTTAGGAAGTCTAACTCCTAGCATATTCTGCAATGGTGGAGACACAACCGTGTCTCAATTTCTGTAAAATCACTGACTTCATATAGAAACTGAAAACTAAGATGCTAAGCATTTAAGGTATTAAAAAATAGTTTAGCTTAATGATGAACATGTACCATATATTTCACAAAGATCAATTTTAGATTACTACAGAAATACTGTGCTGCTAAATATATGAAAAATATATAAAAATTCAGGAAAATTACTAAGCACTCTCCTTTGTTATTAAGCAATATATTTAAAGCTTCCACAGGATTAATAAACCAAAACAGGGGCTGGGGATATAGCTAAGTTGGTAGAGTGCTTGCCTTGCATGCATGAGGCCCTGAGTTGGATCCCTAGCCCCACCACCTAAATAAATAAATAAAGATAAACCAAGACGTAATAAATGTAAAAGATACCTTGGCAGTACCTGGAAAACTCCAGGACTTACCCTTACCCCCTCCTCCGCCGCCACCTCTGTGGTCCACCAGCTGCATCAGTTTTGGATTGATAGCTTGATTAGCCTCTTCCAGCACTTTGATCAGCTCTCTGGCCTGCTTTAGGTTCCCTGGGGTGAAGAAGGTATAGGCAGTACCCTTGTTGGTGCTACGGGCTGTTCTGCCAATACGATGTACATAATCCTCTGAGCTGTTTGGATAGTCGTAGTTGATCACAAACTTGACATCTTCCACATCTTCCACGTCAATGGTGAGTCAGCGTGTAGGTTGACGTGGCAGGGAAAGAGAAGGTAAAGGACATGCCAACAACAGGTGGGAAGCACGAATGCAGATGACAGCAAGAGGAGAGAAGGTGCAGTTAGTAACCACTCTGAGCAGGAACAAAAAAAGACTCATCCCAACAGAGTAAAAGAAGATTAGTGATTCTTGGGACATGCATGGGAATTGGGATCTTTAGTGGCTATCGAACTCTAAGGAAATCCCATCCAGCCATCAAACTCCTGCCTCATCTATAGTTGACMAATGTACTGACAGGAGCTGCACCAACTTTGGTCCTTAGACCACCAAGTTCCAGTGCCATCCTTTCCAAAACTGGAATACAGAAAGCAAGTGCTAACCACTGTTATGTTACAGGGCCAAATCACTTCTACTCTGTTGGGAGAAGCCTGGCAAAAATCTACCAACAACATAACAAACTTACCTTTGAACCAGTCACAGAGCAAAATGAAAAAAGGAGCTTCATGTGTTTTATTACTACATTTTCAAGGAGACTTAACATTTAGGTTAATTCTTTTTTGCTCTTAYATTAAAAAACAAAACAAAACAACAAACTGATCAGAGCCAAAGTACACACCTAATTTCCTTTGCAAAAAAAATCCTTCCCCTTTTGAATTACCACAAGCACACATTACACTAAAATTTCACTATACTACTAAACCCAGCTTCTGTCAAATGAAGTTCTTTGCCCAACTCAAGGTTATTTCAGGCTTAGTACTTGTTTCAATGATCAAAGATTGTCTATGTGACCTGGGAAATTAAATAAATAGCCAAAGAACATGGGAAAAAAATGAAACCTTGAGACACAAGTTTTAATATTCTCTCTACTGCTGGGAATTGGGCTGAATAATCTCCTAATGCTTACAGTATGTAAATGTTAGTGTAATGCTTTCAGCTAAATGTATTTTTTTCCCTACTTAAAACAAACAAATTTAAGAATATAACAGAATCCTAATGTTTTGTGGAAAAAAATCTGCATTTTACAAAGAATATTCAGAAAATATCCTAGATAAAACACAGATTTTTGTGATATAAATAATGAAAAAACATTCTCTGTTTGTTACCAGACCGATGCACACTCCCTCCTCCTTTGGGAAACCGCTGCAGCCGATCCCGTCTCTTTGCCTTTTATTTTTGGCGGCCTCCTTTCGAAAACTCCGCCTTCTGACACGGGACCACTGGAGCGCGGGGAGCATGCATCAAGGGTCCGTGGCAGTGAGAAGTCCCCACACACGCTCGCTCTGTGAACTGGCTTAGATGCTTCTCTGTAGCCCCATTTGGTTGCCAAGCGCCGGAGAACCTGGGTTCGGGTAAAAATTTCAGGTCCTCCAACGCCTCCCCCAAGGTAATTGGGGTGATTGTAGAAAAAAATAATTAATAAAAAAAAAATGTAAGTTACATCCAAAGGGTCAGACTGCATCTATTGCCCAGACTGGATTAATTTCAGGGGGAAAGGGGAGATGATTTAAAAAAAAAAAATCGGCTGTTGTTACAGGGCTTGTGAAGAAGGGGCATTATGTCTGTTTCTTATTACAATAAAGGCTCCTCGGTCTTTACTGACCCCTAAAGTCCTGAATCACACCAGAAAGACGAGAAGGCACTTATCACAGGGGGCAGCGTGAGTCTCAGGCTAGGGTCGTTGATGCCACAAAGAAAAAAAACTTACAGGGCAAGGGTTGGGGAGGGTGGGGGGGATTATAATCCATGACCACATCTTCAGAGCTAGGATAATGCTCCTTAGTCGCTCCCACTGAGTATAGCCCTTGGAAGCAGAGCAAGTGGAATTACTGCACGAACACACAAAAGTATGCTTTCCTAGCAGAAAGCACTGGCATTGAGGGTGGGGATGGGGTGGGGGTTGCAGTCAACAATTCAGATCTAATACTTGGGAGTACTTCTGGAGGGGCTCAATAGGGGGCAGACATGGTGCAAGTTCTTCACTAGAAAGCTGTCCTGTGTGTGCACATAGCTGGCCGAAGGCACACAGGAGCAAGCGCAGAATTTGTTTTTCTCCAGTCAAGCCTGCCCTGATGTTATCTGTGCACTGCCACAATATTATCTTGCTGCCTTTATAGAAGATGCTGTAGCAAGGTAAGAAATGGAAAAGTTAATGTTTTGGCCAGCTGCCTAAGAACCTTTGGTCTGGAAAGCCCTAGGACATGGCCTGAATCTCCAATCACTAATTGGGAGGGTCTAACGCTAGCCAACAGGCCCATCTAGAGCTGCTTCGGGCCAATGTAGATTTGCCTCGGCCATGTACTGAGGGATCTGCAGCTGATATCAAAGCTTCTGTTAAAAAACAAAACAAAATAAATTCAATACTTTTAGTTTAACAGCGTGTAGTTTAAACAAAAAGGAGAAATAAAAAAATATCCCAGTGGAAAGGGAATAGTGGTTGCCTTGAGGATGATTACTATAAAATTATGGGAATCAAAGAACTTACCTGAAGGGAACATTTAAGAGATCATCGCTCGACAGGAAGTGAAAAAAGGCCTGGTGACTCAGCTGAAAATCGCACCCCTGTCTATGAGGTAGAAGCCTTCACTTTCCAGGATCTTGTAGGACCTTGGTCAGAATTCTGCCATTTTGGTGGGTTTTCTCCCTCCTTTTGATTTTTTACAAGGCAGCAAACAAAGGGGCCCAAAACAAGCACTGATGTTGAGTAACAAGAAACAGACTCAGGTACCTTCCCTCTCCCCTCACTTGGATGAGGGGGACTGGGATGAAGAGTCTAAGTTATTCTAATGGTAGCCAATTGATTCGATTTAGAAATGCAAGGGGACATGGAGCAAATATTTTTAATTGTCTAGGCAAGATGCACAAAGAAGCTACCAGCACATAGCAAGCCTGTTTAAAAACCACATTACTGAAAGCTTTTGAGTAAAGTGCTTTCAGGCCTCCACCTCCTCTCCCAACAGGTCCAAGTTCTACCGGCACAGACCCAGACAGGACCTCAGAGGGCAGGGACAACTTTCCATCAYGGCTGCAGGTCACCCCCTCTGAAGGAGGCAATGATAAGTCCAATGGACAAAAAGGCTCCATTACTTTTTTATTCCAGTTTGACTATGTGTCCTCTTTACATTAAATAGTATTAGGGAATATGATACTTCTCACCGTACTAGACAAGGAATCAAACACCTGCCAATCGTTTTAAAATTTCCTTATAACAGAAATAATYGTTTTTAAATATAAAAGTTTTGAGTCAGACCTGTTTAGCTCAAAATGATGGGCTAAAGTACCAGAGTATCTGTATATACCTTACATCATAGTGAGTTGGAAACTCCAAAAAATTTTCAAATTAAGCTCTTAACTTCTATATTATCACATCTATGAGTACAGTAGTAGGAGGAGATAACTGAGTGCCCACCATTTTTTAACTTCAGTAAATTACACCGGGCAATACAGATTTAACTGAATGATACTGTAATATAAGTTTGTTAAATATGATTTAGAATTGGGCCTCTATAATTTATCTATAACAGACTGATACAAGGAAAGTAATAACTGAAGAAACTAGCTTTCAATAGCTAGGTTCAATCAGGCTCCTTATAAAAAGCCAGAAAACAGAGCAAAACCAGGAAGAAGTTAAGCTGTTCAAGTGAATGTCTCCTCTCCCTCGAACTGAACAGTCATGCCTAGGCCTTGCTGCAGACCAAAGCCTGTTTATTAGGAGCAGGAAGAGACTTTGAAAATAAAAGGAGAGGAAAAAAAACCCAAAAAACCAAAAACCCAAAAAAGCAAAAACAAAAAAACAACTAAGGTTTTGAGGAACAAAAAAGACCAACAAAAAACAAAAAAACCGTGGGGGGAGGGAGTCACACTTATATTCTTCTCTTTTTACTAAACAGATGTTTATACAATTCTAAAATTGAAATGACAAATCTTTAAACCAAAAAGATACATAAACCCTTGACACAGACACCTATCTATACAAACCTAGCCCACGGGAGGCTACATCCGTGGCAATGAGGATGGGAGCCTTTCCAGAGCGGAACTCTGCAAAAACAAATGAAAAATCAAGTTATACAAACAAGCTAGGGGACATCTTAAAAAGCTGTGGAATGAAGAAGAAAACCATTATTATCACCCCCCACCCCAACAAGATGTGTATAGATTGCCTGGGAATTTGAAGGTTCTACTTCAGCTTAATGAATCGTGAAATTACAGATGTACGCCACCACACCCAGTTCTTAAATACTTACTTTTGCCACTTAGTAAATTTTGTTGGAATTCAGCCAGGCCATGACTTCTCATGTCGTCTATGGCCAGCTGCTTTCTGTGTTACAGTGGCAGAGTTTAGCAGTGGCAACAGGGACTACCAGATGGTTGTAAAGCCAAAAACACTATCTGGCCCTTTAGTTTGGAACTTACCATTAAGTACCCAATCTCGTTCTGGTTGACTCTTATCTCCATGGATACACATAGCAGGCCAACTAGCAGGAAAAAAGTGACCAATATTTTAAAAATCTTTAAAGAGGAAAGCTAAGCCTTAAAAAGAAATGCTATTACATAATTTTGTTAGGCTGCAAAAGATGACTGACTATTCATTTAAAAAATAAATTGCATGTGGGGCATTATTAAAATACAACATTCACACCACCAATTTAGAAATTATAAAATCCAAGGCTAATTATCTCAGTGCAATRCTCACCCATCTCTACGCATCCTTCGAGTGAGGTCATCACAGCGTCTCTTTGTCTCCACAAATATTATTGTCTTATTTTCCTTTTCAGCCATTATTTCCTCCATTAGTTGAATCAACCTGAAAAAAAAAAAAAAAGACCAACACTACTGTCATCATGCAGGAAAGGCCTCCCCACATACTATGCAGATCTCTGCAGTATTAACTCCCCAAACTACAGCACTTTCTTTTCACATCACAGTAAAAATTCTTTAACCACAATGCTCCAATAAATGACACAAAAGATGAATTTGTAGAAAGCAAAAAAAAAAAGTTTCTCTTTCTTTTTGGTACCAGAGACTGAACCCAGGGGCACTTTTTCCACTGAGCTACATCCCCAATCCTTTTTGAGACAGGGTTTCACTAAGGTGAGATGAGGCTGGCCTTGAACGTGCAATCCCCCTGCCTCAGCCTCCTGGGATTATAGGCATACACCACCATGCCTGGCTAAAAAATTTTAGATTCACTTTTAATTTTGGATCATTATGAGCATTATCATCAGTGTTATTAAAACAGACAGTAACATCTCTTTCATACTTGTGGTCTTTTTCACTTTCCATGCAGACATCCACAATCTGAAGAATGTTGTGGTTGGCACTCAACTCCAGATTGCCCACATTGATCTGGGTGTAATCACGAAGAAAATCCTCTGCAAGCTGTCTCACTTCTTTTGGCCAGGTGGCACTCCACATCAGTGTCTGCCTATCAGGCTATCAGGAAAGGAAAGGCTTTCTTTTAGGATAACGAACTGTAACAATAGTCAAAGAATATAAAGATAGTGAAAGATCAGTTTTACACACCCTGATTTGGTCAACAATTTTACGAATCTGGGGTTCAAAGCCCATATCAAGCATTCTATCAGCCTCATCAAGCACAAGATAAGTACATCGGCGAAGATTTGTCTTTCCTGACTCCAGGAAATCTATCAGGCGCCCAGGAGTAGCTATGCAGATCTCAACACCTGCAAAACAAAAAAGATCTAGTTCATTAAGAATTCTTGCATAACCATTAAATCTTACAAAGTTAAGACTTTCCAGCTGTGGTGCAATTCCTCTCCCAAAATAGCTATTAAACGGGAGGATTTCTAAGTTCCTAAAATACTGATTTTTTCCCACAACATCGTACTCCTTTCTTCTATATCATTCACAGAAATTGGTAAAGTAAGATAAACTAATATTCCTGATAATTTTTTAAATTACCTCTTTCCAAGTCTCGAATCTGGGGACCTTTAGGAGCACCTCCATAAATGCAAGTACTCTTCAATCTAGAACACTTGCCATAGTCATCAGCCACCTGCTGTACTTGCTGAGCAAGCTCTCTGGTAGGAGCCAGAACCAGACACTGAAATAGGCAAAAACCCACTTGAGACATTGCAGGTTAAGAAAACAATAACAATAAAAACCCATAAATAACTGTGAAATACAATAATATCTCTTCCATTATTATCTAATACTTTTCAAATCATGTGACGGGGTGCGTTGCGTAGTCAACAAAGAAGTAGAAAGGCACCATGGGGGTGGGGGAAAAATGATTAGAATTCACTATTTAGTATGTGGAATGACACTGGCAGCATTCTCACCTGCCTTTGATGCATTATAATTCATTACAGTTTATATGTACCACTTAAATGGATTTACAAATTTTATTACCTAGTTTTAACTATACAACTCTTGCAAAACAAACAGTTTTAAAAATATCCTGCAACATAACTATGGATTAAATATTAGCAAGAAATACAAATGAATTAAAAAAAAAAAAAAAGCCAGAGCCAACACTGCTCATTTAAGCTCTCTTCACTGGGTACATAAGCAAAAACAACAGTTCATGTAAGCTGCCAGAATCACATGAAATCTGGCCCAAATAATACCAAATCAAGACTCTTGAAACATGTATTATACAAACTGTGAGCAACTAGTAATCCTTCTCTATGTATTGATCCACTCATATCAGCTAGTGATAAAAGAACAATCTCTACAGAATACACTATGTTATATAAAGCAAAGCAATATATCATTTTTGTATTTTGAAACATCCTCAAAAATATACACACTCATTTCAAGTACATTTGACTAGTACACACACACACACACATACACACACACACACAAAATCCCAAACTGATTTTAAGAACCACACGGCAGGGAACCCATCTCACATCTTTTCTATATTTCTCACAGCATCACTGAGTAATTAAGAACTGTGGTAATACCACTTTCAGATATGGAGGGTGGAGTTAAGAACAAAATCAGATAACGTGTAGAAAGCATAAAATTTAAAATACAATAATTATAGTTTTTATTAAAATTATAAAACACACTGAAACACACTTACAATCGGGCCATCTCCCCTTTCCAAGTACGGCTGGTGGTTAATATGAACAATTGCAGGCAACAAATACTGGGGAGGAGAACAAGAATCTTATATTAAAAACAAGCCGCCATCTTTTCATCTTTTTTTKTGTGGGGTGCTGGGGATTGAACCCAGGGCTTTGTACATGTGAGACATGCACTCTACCAAGTGAGCTACACTCCCAACCCCCAAACAAGCCATTATCTTAATACTTCTGTGTTCATGCTAATGTTAATTTTAAAAACACTTCCACACATTTAACAGCTAAAATATTACCTACACTAATTACATTTTAATGMAGAATTAAAAGTATATGTGCCAGGGCTGGGGTTGTGGCTCAGCGGTACAGTTTTCGCCTAGCACGTGTGAGGCCCTGGGTTCAATCTTCAGCACCACATAAAATTAAATACATAAAGGTATTATAGTTGTGCCCAACTATAACTAAAAATTAAATATATATTTTTTTTTTTAGAGAGAGAGAGAGAGGGGAGAGAGAGAGAGAGAGAGAGAGAGAATTTTTTTTAATATTTATTTTTTTTT